TGTTGCTTTTTCTAGCATTTTTAAAATAAAAACTTCGTTTGACATTCTGGCAATTTTAGACTGGGAGATCTTATAAAATGTATTCTTATGAAAAAAGTTTATACCTATAAGCTTATACTTGATTTCAGAAAACCCAATTTCAAAAGTCAAAAAGACAATATAAATATATAATGAACAGTAAAAATGATAATACTATACAATATGAAATAGAAATAACAATAGGCCTAATATAATTAAAATGATATGAATAATATAACATAAAAGTGACAAAACAGAGACGGAAACGGCTATGGAGGTGAAGAAAATGATAATGATGACGATAATAATAATAAATTTAGCCACTGAAAATATATCAGTTATTGGCAGCCATTGGCTAGGAAATAGCATAGGCCTATTACATCTCATGATATTCTTATAATATATTATATTAAATTATATTGTATTATATTATATTATGTTGTGAATACATATTAATTTAGAAAAATTAGCCATTATTTTGAAACATTCAAACTAATTTAACCATTAAAGAAGAATCCTGCGGTTGTGCATTCCTTAGATTCCTTTGAATAATAATTATTATTGATGATGATGACAAGGATTATTATGATTATGACAAAAATGAATATATTCATTCACTTTTTTTACAAGATTCAATAAAGTTAAATTCGAGTTAATTTGATTTTTGATGATGGTGATATGTGTCTGCGACCTCCGAACCTTTGTATCTGAGTTGGGAATGCTTCTGATTGACTTGCTGAAAGGTCGTCGGACTAAAATTAAAAAGTTCATTACAGTATAATAGTATTATATTGATCTTCATTTTTTATAATAGACTGACATCATCAGCGGGATTGAGCGCAATCTTTGTCAGCAGTTATAACATGGAGGTATAAAACAATTTTGTAGGCCTATCACTATGGTTATAAATACCAGCACAGTTAGACCATCTTTTTTGACATCATAAAAAGATTTTGCATGAGCATAATGCAGCTAAAGCGGTTCCTTACCTTTGAAGTAAATACGGGTAATATTAGTTTATTTTATACATACTTCGTTGGGGAGAAATAACAAAATATCAAATAAATTATATAAACTTGCATGAAACTACTGGACTCATTGCATATAAGAAATTAAATAGGGCTGCATATTGCAACTGTTATTAATATAAAACAACATAACATCTATAGTGTAATTGACCTAGGCCTTTATAAAAATATCTTACCGGTTTTATAATAATTCTAATATGCCCTACCCTTATAGCCATAACCTTTGGATCTATGGTTTAAAAACCATGTCAACCAAAATAGGCATATAAAACTAAGGAGTGGTGTTTTAGCGGGGAAAGGGAGTTAACTATATTTGACCTTAATTGGGACCATTAAATTTCACTCTTGAGATGATAAAATCATCGATAGCATTGGGACCCATTCACTTTAGTCTGTTCCTGAACACACGTTAAAGAAAACTATTTATCATTTGTATCTTAATAGCTTTTCCAGTAAACTCAGATGCCTAATATATTCCTGCTTGAGGCCTCAAAATAGCAAAAGAAAAAAAGAGAAGAAAGAATAATCAACAAGGAACATGTTAGGGTATCATATCCGTATTGTTTCCTCAGTATGACCTTTCTGTCGGGAGGGCGACTTTTGATTGCACGGAACATTGTATCGATTTCTCCCCAGTTTCTCTTAAGCCTGACTTATAAGGTAATACCCAGATCTTACTGCATCTTTAACTGCCTTTAACGGGGCTGTTTCATTATTCATTTTCTTCATAAAGTTCACTAAAGCTTGACATAGCATGATACTATTATATCGCACCAGTTACTATTATTATCATGGTCATAATAATCAATATAGGGACATTTGAATATAGTAAATAGACCTATCCACTGAATGTTCTTTTATGAAAACGCATTCTAGTATCTCTGTAAACTAAAAAAAATGCGTTATCACCAATAAAAACGAGGTGACGCTGGTGTGCAAAATACATGCAGTTGCGATCAACAGTTTTTTTTTTTTTTTTTTTTTTTTTTTTTTTGTTAATAATCTTATTCTGCAAACAGAGGACAAATTATGTTCAGTTCAAGATACTTCCCCGGACATCCAAACTGATTTAAATCATTTAATCGCAGACGTAATTGCTTTGATCAATAATATACAAGATTTCAAACCATGCTCAGTACCCAGTAATTTTGAAATGTGAGTGGCATCACCCATAAGCAGTAACCCCAAATCTATGTAGGATATGACATTTGAATCATCGTCTGTAAACACGTTCGTTAGGTTATAAAGTGTTGTTCCTTTTCAAAAGATAATGCATGTAGTTCAATTTCAGTAACCTTGCAATGTGTTTTTCAGTAGACATTTATAGTTAATAAGCTCAATCCGAGTTAACCATGACCCTTTACATTAGGTGCTCCCGGTACTCGTCGTTAAAAGTCTTGTGCTGTTTGCCGGGTCGTCAGGTGAACATTTATACAATTGACTGTGTATTTCTCCCATGTAAAAAGTTCACATTACATCACATTCTTCAGATATCGATTTCATATTCATCACTTTTAACGACAATCGCAAATTAATTGCATCAGTATCGTACATGTGATTATCGTTTTCAATCAGACATTTTATCCGAAAACCTACCTTTAATTTAGATCAATCAACAAATACACATAGATCAAGCCTTATAAATATTCATGATCCGATTATCCAGCCAATGCAGCTGTCATCATTCATTATAAATAATGTACGATATAGGCCCTATTCATAGCTAATAGCCGATCCCGTTAACTGGGGGCGGATTCACTATAAATTTAGGCTGGGGCGAATTTCTCCTACACCGGAATGAAGCTGCGGGTACAAAGTCTACAAAATTCTAAGCAACGCACGTTATAAAGCGTGGGTATTGTAAAGTGTGTCTCTCAGTATCCATGTGGAACATGATATTATAACCAGTAGTCTGATTTTGTTCCGTGTGCTATATATAATGACTTTTGAACGTTTAAACAATTTTCTATGGCTGAAGAAAGCAAAGGGTACCGCAGAGGATTGCCCTCGTCCCCGGATAGCAGTTAGTGTAGGGCTAAAGTTGTTTGCCTGACTAAGTGTTTTCATCCTATCATAATATATACGTGACAAGAGGGTTAATACGGTACACTAGATAATAGGGTATACAATCTCTATCACCCTCTACTAATGATATTACCCATGATTATTCTCGTTAACTATAATTACTCTGATTAACGAACACAAATGTATTACTGTAAAGTCATTATCTAGGCACACACGATGAACGAGTATCGATGGGAGAGATTTGTGGATTGGGGCAATAACCAATGATTTTATACAAAATCGAACTTAAGGTAATTATCAAGGTGTTTAATCACGCACTAATTAAATCTAATTCTTTCCAATTGTTTCTTGATTATAAAGCGTTGAAAAAAAAAAGCAATTATAACTTACAGCGCCAACGCCAACATGTCATTCGTGACATTTGGCGTAAGCAGATCGTGTGCGACTGACGTATTCGGCACGCGTAGGCCTACAGTACACTGTGAACAAAGCGTGGAGCAATATTGTCGCGTTTTTGGTGACACGTTTAAGTGGCCTAATGTGTTTAGGTTTCTGACGTGTTTAGCATTAGATGTGCCTAGGTATTTGACATCATAATGTCAAATACCTAAGCACATCTAATGCTAAAAGATCCTAAATATATTAAGCTATGTCTAAACACGTTTAGCTTTTAAACGTGTCACCAAAAAAGGGACAACATTGCGTGGAGCTTTGTGTTTAAATGCTCCATGCTGTTTTTACAGTGTAGGCTTATCGATTTTGGGCGGGTAATGCCTACATTTGTCCGTATTGCCCGCGTGTTTTTGATTCTGAACATGACATTGCTTTTTGTAGTCGGCACGAGCCTTGACATGTTCTTGACTACCGTATACAATTGTATGCAATACAAGCTGGTTAATTTGCGGTCAATTGTAGCTCCCTTCATGATCCTATCCTATTGGTTCAGTTACAGATAATAAGGTACCTGTCTCTTATACACATCTAGATGTGTATAAGAGACAGCCTCAAAATAGCAAAAGAAAAAAAGAGAAGAAAGAATAAATACATGGTATTCGCTTCCTATATTCTTATATATATATTATACATACATACATAAACAGACACATACTAATAAGTCTGCTGTGTGTGTATTTGAGAGGCATTAGTGCATGGTTCCTATATCAAAGATAATAATATGTACTATAAATAATTACAGATGTATAAATAAATATCTTTTTTCAAGCTGGATATCCTGATCTATTTTTTTAATCTCATAACCATTTGGTCTTAGACTATTAGACTATTATATATCATAATGCCAAGGTCTTTCGTTACAAGAGTTGGATAAAACACCACTGAATAAAATATAATGCCTAGCTGGGGTGGGAGTGTTTCATGTAGTAATTAGCCTATTGACATTTTAAACCTACTGGGTATGTTCATTCTGTACTAATGGGTGGAGTGATACAATGCTACGTGTGCATAATATGACTTGCACATAAAGCTCATAAATATACCAGCCTCATGTTAACATTTCGATATTATCTGTCATGGTTGTAGGCCTATGTTGTATTTATTTATTTATTTATTTATTAACTGATTATCGCTGATGCACTCATATATATTGTTTACCTACTTCTTAATCTACTCTTTACATTAACGTTATGCTGCATTATTAGCTATGAAGACAAGTATGGAAAGTAAGTCTATGGTGCGCCCAAATACGCCAAACAATTGGTCAGACTGGAATTAAACTGCGTCAACGCGTTTAAGTTGCTCAAGTGTAAAAGAAACCTGATAAATTACACTGTACCAGCCAATGAATTTACCACGCGGGACCAAAACTTTATAATAACGGAATGTAATGGTTGTATAACTTTTAGATTTTCACTCAGGTAATGCAACATAAATTCGACATATACAACGGTTAGAGTGTGGGTGACTACTCACCTATGTAACCGGCACTTCATCGGATACATGACACCATAAAACCGATCGGCCGCCATTGAAACCAGTGTCAAAATGCTTGCAGCTAATGTGACGCGCACGATGTACTGGTACACTTTGCACAAGTAACTAGTCATCGGATGGTCCAATAGTAGCATGATTTGACTAGGTACAACCAGCGAAAGGAATATCAGATCGGCGATGGAAAGGTTTACCAGGTACAGATTCGTAACCGTTTTCATGGCACCGTTTCTCACAACAACATATAGGACCAACACATTTCCCGGAATTCCGAAGATTATTAGTAACACTAGAAAGAACACTAACGTGTAGGCGGGTGATGTTTCACTCATCTCAAAAGAGTAGAGCGAATCGTTTGTAGAAGCCAGCATTGTGGTTGACACTAGATTGTCGGTGTCCATGGTTCGTCTAGTTCACAGCAAACGTTACACTGCTAATTATGCCAATGTTAATTATGACAAGTGCAGCGTTATATTATTTCATTTGCCATGCACACAGAGACTACTATACGCGTCGATGTCTTACCAATGATGAACTGGATTTTATACTTATGATGCCTAACACCATCTGATGTAATGCTAAATAAAGTAATAATAAAGGCCACAGGGCTATAATGATACCAGGTAAGGTGGAAAATGGCTAGCGATTTAACACTGTTTGATAGAGCTAGTTAAAACTGAAGATTCTCCGTTCAACACCTGGTTGGCAATGCAACATGTAACTAAGTTGAGTAAATCCGTTGGAGAAATACTCTGGTTAACAGTTTCAGGTAAAAACTTTGTCAGCAAACGTATGGAACACGTCAATGAAGGCACTGATCAAACGTCACTCGTTTAAAGAAGAAGCCGCAGATGAATACTTAATATTTTGCGCTGCCGTATTTCGACTCAACACCAATGGATGTCACAGTAGAACAGCGATAGTGAGATACTACGCTGATGAATTGACACTTGTCTATAACTACTGGTTTATGGCGTACAACAGGTAGATTCCGTCAGACGCAAATGCCACGTAATCTGGGAAAACAGAGATACATGAATGAGTTTAATGCTAATTTTGATTAAAATACATTAGTTTAATTTATTATTCATTTTATTACAGTAACACTTAGACCTATTTGACAATCATCATAATTTACAGTGTCTATTAATAATACAATAATATAAAAACGATATAAATGGTCAGAATCACATATGAAGTGACCCTATATCTGAAATAACGTGCAATAACATAGCAAAACTTCTTTGAGCTAGTTTGTTAAGTTAAAGATTAGTGTATTAATCTTGTAAATAAATTACGTGTCTTTAACACATCAAGACTGCCAAAAAGCTAACCAATAAACTTGTTCCTATCAACTATTACCCAACAATTCGTTAACCATCGTTCGATCGTTTGACTCGATGCCATCATCCCATACGGATAAATTTTGCACTCGTGCTCAATTCGTATCCATGAACACTAACTTGTACCATATTATAACGGAATGGAGTTGTTTAGTGGTGAAGATGCTTTGCCTTGTAATCCCAGGAACCTGGTTCAATTCCTGTGACAGCAGCAGGAATTTTTTCATGACCAAAAACAACTCAACTCTCTAAGCATCATAAAGACTTAGTTAATAAAGCACCGTTCCGTCCTGCATTCGTCGAGTTACTTACTGTTGGATGCGAATGAAATAAATAAAAAAACAAATAAACAATCGGTACTCATAAACTCGTACTCGTACCATCGACAGTTCGTAGGCCTAGTCTACCATCATCTCGTACCCATCAACCCTAAAATTTTAAACGTTCATACTCATCTAATTAACCACCTTTCTACCCATTAACTTTCCACCAAACTCAAAAACTCGATTCACCATTACCAACTCGTAACCATAATTTCTATGAACTCGTCACTTATCAATCCATTCACACTAGTATGACTCTATACTAATATGTCAATAATATTACCGCAGTGCAAAGGCGGTAAAAACTGTTCCACTCCGGTAACTGTGCCGCGGAACCGAAATTGAAGCACACCTGTTGATATGTGTTTTGATATAATCATCCTGGTTTTAGAACTCGTGTCCATTCAGTCAAGATCAAACACCAATTGTGCAGTATTAATCGGCGCGAGAATGATTTTCAGAAGAGTGGTTATTATAGAAACGCACTACACTGTAAAAACAGCGTGGAGGATCTAAACGTAAATTTCCACGCAATGTTGTCCCATCTTTGGTGACACGTTTAAAATCTAAACGTGTTTAGGCCCGGCCTAATGTGTTTAGGTTTCTGACGTGTTTAACATTAAATTTTCTTAGGTATTTGTCATTGATGTCACATGCTTAAGCACATTTAATTCTAAACACGCCAAGATCCTAAGCTTTTAAGCGTGTCACCAAAGACGGGACAAAATCCTCCACGCTGTTTTAAAGTGTAGTATTCAACGAAGCAGTTACTGACCAATGCAGACCAACAAATTGGTTGATTGACTGTATGTATGTTTGTTTGATTGACTTGTTTTTGAAAACGAGAAAAAATAGCCATGTACAAGAACAAAATAATATATCAATCAATGTGGTTTTGATCTCACTAAGCCGCTAAAATGTATCATTCTATAAACGACCACAAATAACTAAAAAATAATTTGATGTGGTCTGAGTAAACGCTAGCAGGCATTAAAAGCCAGTGAAATTGATTAACAGTTTGTTCTCTCTATATAGAGAGAGCTTGTTTTATTAATAGTACGCAGAAACTCCGAAATCGGAGGTTTGAAAAAAAGTTTGAAAACTCCGATTTTGGAGCTTTCGCGTATACAGTAAATACCGGTACGCAAAACCTCCAAAATCGCAACAATCAGATTTCGGAGCAACTACATGCCTCCAAACAGACAACACCAATAATTTTAATGTTTTTATTCAATTATTCATTATGTTATTCAACTATTCATTATACTCCAATTTAATGTTTTCAATGTATTTTATAATGCAATTAGGCCTATTTAAATTGTATTGTTTCTCTTTTAGTAAAGTAATTGTACAGTAATCTAAATGTTATTATTCAAATTGTGTATGTGTTTTTCTTATTTATAGTCATGTGTAATTGTTTGGGTTTGTTTTGGTCGTTTTGTAATTTTCTAAAAATATAATATTAGTTCATTTTTTATGTAAACATATTTTGCAATTCAGCCATTTGGCTGCCATGTCTTATGTTTTTAATGATTTCGTTCTGAATAAACACCATTATATATAAACTACGTTTAAAATTGATTGAAGTACATATTACAACATGTCTTCCAAAGTTCATTTCAGTAATTTTCTCATGTTTCAACACAGTAAGCTTGAGTAATAGCACCACTTGTGATAGTAGGCCCACTTTTTAACCTTCGCTCTTCGCTACCTAGATCCGAGCAGCTTTGGAAATCTTACCAATACCTTCGCAATTAATCGTACTTCACATTTGATAATAGAAATTTCAACCCGGACCCCCTTTATTCATTCTTCAAGTTCAGGCTCTAAGTAAGGCAATTTGTAGATATGAGATCGGTATCGAGTAACTTGATTTTACAGCCAAATATCATTTTGAATAGCCTCATGACACTGTGTATACAGTTGCTGCCACATCAACAAATAATCTAAGTTTATTATATGTTCTGCCAAAGTATTCAATTTAAATAATTACCTCACTTTGCTAACGCTTGTTCTTCACTTGAGGTCGGAGAAGTTGTGAACATTTTACCATTAAATAATTTGTAATTAAATAATTGTATTTTATACTACACATTCGCTGATAAAAATGTCAAGCCTCAACCCTCTTTAAAAACTGTTTAATCGTAGGCTTTAAATAGGGCAATTTGTAGTACCTTTCCGAGCCACTGGAGCTCATAGTGCTGGAGCTTATCCCCAGTTTCTGTAGTGTTAAGCGGATGAGAGTTGTACTCCCCCTGGACGGAAAACTAGTCCATCGCAGGTTAGTCCCCAGCCGTTGGTTGGTACCCAATAATAGAGCTGGGTGGACTGAAGCAATGAGCAAAAGTGCCTTGCCAAAGGACATAAGCCAATGGACCTTTCCGCTCAGCTCCGCCCCTTGGATATTGTTGCTAAGGTCCCACAAGACGGCAGTGTTAAAACATACGCGAACACGTGCGTTTGTGGGACAACACGTGTGTTTGTAAGACGCGCGCGTATTCCTAGCGCTGTTCTGATTAGTCAGTTGTTAAGTTTGATTGACACTCCGGAAAGGTCTATTTGTAGTACAGGCATTAGGAATTCGAATACTGTATGCGAGTGATTTGACTTTAACTGTGATTTTTAAAAGCCTATTTACACTGTAATACGTAGACATGTACTTATTTTACACAAGTAAAGGTAGTTAAGTTTACAATTATTTCCTACTTCATTTTTCGAATGCAATTCTTCTAAAGTCAGTAAATTTCAATTTCATTTCAACACTTTTTAATTTGAGTAATAGCCCCATTTGTAACGGTCGATCTTCGCTACCAACCTTGAAGAAGTTGTGAAAATCTTACCAGAAAGATCATAATTATTCGTACTAGGGCCTTCATATTCGCTAATAGATATTTTAACTCTAGAATTCCTTTTAATCGTTGTTAATATGTATGCTGTAAGTACAGCAATTTATAGTTAATTATTTATAGAGTGATTTGATTGTAAAGCCAATTGTCATTTCAAAAGCCCCATTGACAATGAAGATGTGTATACAGTTGATGCACCTTGTCAACAAATGTTTTAATCTACTGTGACTTGACTTATCTACTATAAAATCACACCTCTCCAATTTAAAAGTGCTACTCGGATTTACATTTAACACGAACACATTAGTGAAATTACATTAATCGCAGTATGACGTACATAATCGCGTACATAATCGCACTGTTACTTGATTTGTCAGCTGCGTGTAGTTAAATTAACAATTGTTATCTTTTGAAAATGCATGCAGGTTGATTTGGTATCAAGGATAGCGTTTTAAGCTGGCCCAAGTTTTTACCTTAATAGCTACATAATAGTGTTGTATCAGGGGCCGTATCTTCCGGCACCCTGGATCCGCCCCTGCTGGTCCTCCTGCTCCAAAAAACTAATGATTAATCCTGGTGGTCCTAATGTTCGGTACCCTAATGTCCGGTTCCCCTAATGTCCTGGCCCCTATTTTCGGAGCCCCTAGCTTTAGCCAATTAGGGATCATAGGCGTTACCTTCTCTGCACTTAATTATAATTATAAGCAAACATAATGTACGTAGACGACCTAGAGCTGGCACGGTATACTGCAAACAGTGGCGTATCTAGGGGTGCGCGGGGGCACCCCTAGATTTTGCGAATTACCGCCCCTCAACTGATGATCAAGCCCCCCCCCCCACCACTGATCATCGAGCCCCCCACCACTTCACCTTCGCGCCCCCATCAGTACCACCATTTCAAGACTTCTAGACACGCCACTGACTGCAAAGCTCAAACACATTACGGTATGTTCTGTGTCACAGGGATTCCAGACTCTTGAGTGTAAACCCAGTGAATTCGGACACAAGAGTATTACAATTGCATTGCCAGATCAACATCTTATATGAATTTACTATGCATTTCACCCCCTCCTCTCAAACTCCTCGACCTCAACTACTGTGTAAGCAACTGTGACTAGATAGCAACGAATTCCCTGGGAACTTTTTAATGTAAAGAGTAATCGAAATACCTGAGACATCAGGAAGTTGAACCTCAAATCGAACTTCTTGTCATTGATTTTTTAAGTCAATTTAACTTGCCAGTGTCACGGCAACTTAGGCTCCGAACGTAACGAACCCATAAGCCACGCTCTTTGGGTATTGTTGCTAGGTTCCACTGGTGCGTTTGTGGGAAAAGCGCGTAATCCTGGCCATGTTCTGATTGGTCAGTTCAAATTCAAAAATAAGTTTTGAGTGGCTTCGGGCTGTATGTAGGCCTAATTCACTTTCCCCACACGAACACTTCATAATGCTAGACTCGCTTTTAATCAGGGCGCCCAAATTGCCGTGTCAAGCATTTTTGCTAAAAATCGCCCTTTAGAAAGCTCGTTGGTGCCGTACCATTGTGGTCAGTACAACGTATTCCATTGTAATCACAAAATAACATAACAATAATAGTATGATAATAACAATAACAGTAAGAAAAATAACAATTACAATCAATAACATTAATACCGGTATTGAAAACAATGCACAGTACGACAAAAATAACAATAACATCAAAATAACAATAACAATAAGATCATAACAATTAGTTATATTATTGATATTAATATTTACATAATAACAATAATAATAAAATAAAATAAAGCATACAGAATGTTATTTTTTGTCATCACTCTTTCAAATAAAGACAAGAAAAATAAATTATTTATTCTTTCTTCCCTTCTTATCTTCTTCTCTTTCTTTTTTCCCTTTTTTAAAATTAATTTAAATATTTTATTTTATCTAATGTACCTTGTGTATTTGTTGTTATATTAATGCAAGTAAAAAAACAATACTAAAATAAAAATAACAACCACAAATACAATGACAATTATAACAATGATATGAAACCATGACAACGTAAAAATAAAATACCAATACAATAACAAATACTCCTATTCTAACAATACGATTATAACCAGGGAACAGTTAAACTTAACAATAACAAAATAATAATAACAATAACAATTAAAATGATAATGACAATGACACAATGACAATAACAATGACAAGGCCAATGTAACAATAATATTATTGATAATAATGTACTAATACAATAATAATAACAGTAAAATAATGGTAATAATACTAGTAATGGTAATTACAATAACATTTATAATAATAATAATAATAATAATAATAATAATAATAATAATAATAACAATGAAATAATATACAAGTAGTAGATATTAATGCAAACAACGATATTAACAATAATGACATTAAACAACGATACACTATGCATATCTGTCAGTAAATATGTATTGTTGCATTATGTAATATGTTGTTAATGAGTTGATCCCATGTGTGTTGTAATTAATGCTCGGCTGCCCACTTAAAGCGTGATATGAAAAGAGTTCTTATTTTGAGATGCAATGTCCTTGTCAAATTGGACCAATCCATTAATTACGAAGCCTAAGAAACAGATGTATTCTATGCAAAATTATCTTACCTTGATTTTGATATATTGATAATTCACAACCGATTTAATTCATTAAAAGTCAGCTTGTTCGAGATATTCTTTTGCTTGATTGGCCAGCTAACGCTGAGTAGTACCGTATACATCAATTATATAAAATTTCCAACGGGAAAAAGTTATCTCTTCACTTGGTTCGCATTTTCTTGAAATATTTTGTAATATTTTTGTACTTTATCTCTCGTTCTCTTTCTCTTGAGATGATACCGTTTAAATTCCAATTGCACTGATGTATATCAAATGCTCTGCAAATTTGTGTTCACCGTAGACGCTGGAACATGTGGATTTTGTATGGAACGTTGTGGTATCCGCTAAGCGTTTAATACCATCTGCTTTATCACATGGGATTTGATCATTATTATACAAGGTAACGAATGAAGGCGTTTTGTGATATAGTGTGGTGCTTCACAAATTTCATTGGCCGTACAGTAGTTATTAAGTGCCAGTGATTGGTTCAATTTTACCGCTAAAGGGCGCTATACTATTTTTTTTTATGAAACGAATGATGTGTAAAAAAAAATAACCACGGCGAATCTTAAACTCATGCACGGTTGCCGTTGATCTCTAAAAATTAATTCTATAATCTATGAAATGGAACGTCCGCGATACCTGACTGTCGTCATTCCATCAGGTCTGGAAATTAATCCTGTCTATCGATAATACAAAGATGACGCGCGCATGGCTGTTATCGTTAACTAGGCCTACTGCAATTAAAACTAGTTACGATGAAAATATACGGCCTGTTGAATTTATAGGTGTTATGTTTTCATTATATTGTAGACGACTGTATATTTAAATTACACCACATGTGTCAATATTTTCACCATGGCCTACTACACTACTACTAGTTTAGTAACTGTAAACAAGTAAAGCCTGCATATCCGGATATTAATTTCTGGAATAAAATCGAAAGAACTTTTAAATGTATTACAACCTCCGTTGTGCGTGACACGTGTTTTCAGGCAATGGTACAAAACACACCGATAAACATTAAAGATTCTTCGAAGTCTTACCTTTCTTAAACATATTCTTATGACAAATAGACCACAACTATCCACATGGTACATAACCCGATTCACATTAGAGCACTTCAGCCAACAAAAGGAAAAGCTGAAAAGTTAGTGGAGAAAGACGATAGCTTAATAATAATCATAAAATAGCATATTATGCTAAAATGGGTGTCGAACAGAATACGACTAAGCTTCAAATAGGAAACAGGGTGAGATAGAGAATGGACAGCAAAAAAAGGCTGTGAATTAGGTAGCCATAATGGGTATGGATAAATTTGAAGGTTGAAGTGGGTGCATGATGGACGTAAGAAGACAATAACATTTTTAGATTTGGGACTGTATATAATAATGGGTAATGCAAATGTATCGCCAGAAGTTGAGTCTCCTCGAATTGATTTATATATAAGGAAGATCTAAGTGAGATGAGATGTTAAGTAGCGTAAGGCGCTTTTAAAAGTAGTTTTTTTCTTACTATAGAGGGCAGCACATATCTTCCAGCTTAGCGATAGAAACTGCAGAACTGCAGTTTTGTTCAGAAGAACCTACTGTATTACCATACCGTACTTTATCAAGAATTCTCCTCTTTTGTTCTTGTATGATTTTTTTTAGCGATTCGAGTGTCCAATGCGTTTAATGCGAAGGCGACGTAAACCACAGCCTAAAGCCCGGCATTCACTCCGCCGGACAGTCGTCGGCCGACGCGATTCTATGTAGAACGCAACGCCACGACGTGCGCGCAACGGATATATGACGATCTGTTCAGACTGCCACCGACAATCATCAGACGGCGTCGCGTCGTCTAGCGCTCACAGATAGCGGAGTAAGGGGTCGTTGTAAGGGGTCGTCGTACGACGGTACTACGACCGTCGTACGAAGTCATGTACCGTACCTCTGCACTGGATCGAGACACTTTCTTTTATGTTCGGTGATAGAAACAAGTCTTCTCGCATAAAGACTAGAAGCTGAATGGCAATTAAAAATATGTTGTGTGGACCCATTATACCATTTGAGAAAAGCAGGGGATTACACCGGTGTTTTTGTACAGTCCCTGCCGTGGAATAGACGTTTACATTAATTGTTAGCATCTGGAACGAACGATCCCTTTTGGGAGTAGAAAGTTTTCCTAGCAAGACTGTACGTGTTATACAAGTCAACACCTTTATCGTTACCTACATATTAAGTTGTATTATTCCAAGCTTTGACTAATGAAATTTAATTAGGTTTGTTCTCTTTTGTGTAGATCAATGCGTCTTCTAGCATGAGACGCGATTAAAACTTCCTGCTTATAATTTTAGTAATAAAGTGGGAGGAAAGTGAATGTAACGGGACTTGACAATCTTACCGCATAATCACAGAATGATTATCAAATATTCTGGATGTATATAAGATTATGCTTTCATTACTTTTTTCATTAAAAATGACCTATAAATTTTAAATAATCTAGTATTACATTTCATCATGGCAGCGGGGAAAGACAGGATAATGATCAAAAACGATTTATGGTCTTAACATTGATACATACTTAGTAATTATGGACTATGGATTACTATTGTGGTAATTAACTTTTAATTAATTAATAGTTATTTTATTTAGTTTAAGAATATAAAAGTAATATAAAGATAATTGTTGACATTGTTCAATGGTCAATCCGATAAATAAAATTCACCAATTCAATAAATATCGAATGTGCTTTTTCTTTTGGTCATAAGAAGAGAAATGCCTATTATTATTATTATTATTATTATTATTATTATTATTATTATTATTATTATTATTATTATTGTTATTGTTATTGTTATTGTTATTGTTATTATTATTATTATTATTATTATTATTATTGTTATTATTATTATTATTATTATTATTATTATTATTATTATTATTATTGTTATTATGGTCAGTCCAGCTCTCTGAGAACATCTAAAAATTAAAAACTAAAATAATCGGAAGATTTATTGTCAAAATAGTATAAACAAATTGGGACTCCTGCTATTAAACCATAGAGAAAATAGCTATTTTCTCTATGATTAAACTAACCCATCAGTGGTACACAACTTAGCCGACATGGTCAGTCAATTTGCATGCGTCAGGGGCACATACTGTACTTTTGAACCAGGGCCTCTTACAACCTAGTACGCGACTGCTTACCTGTGGTGTTGCTTCAGACAGACTTGCTGCAACTATACCTCAAAAATTTACATAAAATTATGAATAGTGTATTTAAAATTATCAAAAAAAAAGGTGATAAAAAAAAAAAAAAAACAGATAAAAAAAAGTAGTTTTTACAGATTTGAACTGTCCGAAAATTGAGGGGAATTTTTTTTTCTTATTCAGATTTTTAATTTGGAGGTAATAATTTGCCTAAATATACAAATTTAAATGTGAAATCAGAATTTTCGTTTTTACTGACTGATAGTACAGCTTTAATAATTGTTTTTATCTAGAGTTACAGTAAGTTTAAGTTGTAATTTTATTTCTAATCAATATACTTTAATATCTAATGCTCTACAACTGTTTAAAAGCAGCTTTGAAAATGATGAGTATAAAAAAAAAATCATATACTGTATGCCATTTTTGTAATAACAATTCTTAACATTTTGACCTTTGACCTCATTTTTTGAGGTAATGAATTGGCCATGAGGGTCCTTTTATACTATTTTCTTAGTTTTTGTATTATTCTGTGCATTTTGACACCAAAATCAACCATCTATCATAGAATGATCCCAAGATGACCTTTGACCCCTCATAAAAAAAAAATTTCCCCACTCCCTAGTCCACCTAACTTTTTTTTTTAGTGTATCCTGGTATATATCCCTACACAAATCAGTTGAAATCTGCTTCTTTCTAATTTTTTCACAGATTAAGTTTAATTTTGGGATACGAATTCCGGCGAAATGCTATCGAGGGTATCAGGTAGGCCTGCGACGGCTCCTGGAGAGTTAAGTAAAGCAACAGCGGGTATAAATCCGACGGCACTCCCCGATTTGATATCTCAGTGAACCGAGACGGATGCTAGGGAAGTCAAACTACTATGCCCGAGAGGGCTGAATGAACCGACAGAAAAATGTTCATTGCTCAAACCAAGGCAGGTGCTAAAGAATGTTGGAATCAGTTAAAAGGTATTGTAAATGCCTCTAACCTCATAGGCAAAGATCCGCAATGATTATTCAAAGCTTATTATGAGAAATAGATACCGTAATTTTCAAGCCATGTGCTATAATTAACTTCAAACTCACTTCTGTGATGATCAATTTGGCAAAAGCCGTTCTGCCTTTCGATTAAATGTTCAAAGAATTTGAATGCCGAGATATGTGAAGCCATTTGTTCCTGAACTATTTTGTTCTATTTCCAAAGACTGTTTGGAAATTTGTTTAAACAGGTTTAAGCAGTAATTTTACAGAATTTGTACTATCTATCTGACAAAGCCCAACTGACAGTTGGGCGAAACTGTCATCAACAAATAACAATGAGTATACATTGGTTTAATTAATGGAATTTTCTCTATGGAAGAACTTGTACTATTTTTAATTACTAAATTAAAATTATCTACTTTTATTAAAATTTTTATTTAGATTTATACATTTAATAAAACCGTTAATGGAAGATTGGACAGTTGGAGAAACTTCTTAAACTACATTGATAGAATAGGTGTGTAAGTTTATCATGCACATAAGCCTTCGATCTTAGTTCTTTGAAAAAAAAAAGACGCAAAGAGGTCAATTTTATCCATCAAAAATTGCCGTAAACTAACCCTTTGATATATTTTTTTAATGTAACTGTCTATGCAATCAGGTTAAATATAGAAACAAAAACTATTAAAATATTGGATTGCTAATTTCAATAAATCAAGTAAGTATAGAACTTACGGTACTTACTGTATCAACCTTTCATATGTCTCAGTTAGAAATAGAACAAAGGAATTCGATTTTTGGTGATATACAGATATGTATAGTACCGTAGTGTATAATATAGGAACAATTTTATGCTGATGTTTTACTTGTGTTCCTAAGCAAGGCAGTTTGAATAGGCCTATATAGTTTCAGTATATTCAACTAATGAGTACCATCGAATTTGGATCAATAATAATGTCCCATCCATCGAGCGTATTATACTCTCTCATCCGCTTCACGCTACATAAACTGGGGAAAAGACCTAGTCTTATTAGCCCTAGGAGGACTTGCTTACTTTTATCTGTAATATTTACGTCGTTTTTGTTTTTTTGTTTTTTGTTTTTTTCCAGACACAATTACTCAGAAAACATTGTTCATTATTGCCAACTGGAAGCAAAATAACTGACTATGGTTTAGCGTTATGAGCTCAACGCAGAGTTTAATTATCTTTATACGTATC